TGGCGCCTTACAGCCCTTGGGTGTGTGGCAGTACCATGTGGCCTCAATTGTGTGCCAGCGGCCAAGGTGACCATGAGCCACTTTGAGCCCAGTGATTACATCCACTATGACCTGCTAGAGAAGAGCATTAACATTGTTCGCAAATGAGTGAACTGGTCTTGGACCCTCTCTGAGAAGCTTGTGTATGGACCCTTGGATGACCCAGCCAATCAGGAGATGGAGGGGGGCAAGACCAGACCACGTGGCCATGCAGGATGCCACGGCCCAGATGGTCATGCTGCAGCTCATCAGCTGCCCAAGGTGGCCATGCCATCCACCATCCACTGCGACCATCTGATCAAGGCCCAGGCCCAGGAGAAAGACCTTTGTTGGGCCAAGGACATAAACCAAGAAGTACATAATTTTCTGGCAACTGCAGGTGCCAAGTATGGCATGGGCTTCTGGCGGCCTGGCTCTGGAATAATTCACCAGATCATTCTGGAAAACTATGCATACTCTGGGGCTCTTCTGATTGGCACTGATTCCCATACTCCAAAAGGGGGGGCCTGGGGGCCATCTGCATTGGAGTCGGGGATGCTGATGCAGTGGACATCATGGCGGGGATTCCCTGGGAGCTGGGTGCCTCCACTAGGTGCCTCTTTCCTGTGCACTTACTCCCAATTGCAGCCTCGGGATCAGAAATCTTGGGGTACTGGGGAGGCGAAATTTTGTGTTTCTATGGTGCTTCCCGGGGAAGCTGAAATTGCGGGATTCTGACCTGCCTTGGGGAAGAGCAGCACCAGTCTCACCCTGGTCGGAGCCCAACACTGAAAACCTTGGCCCTCAATCTGGAAAACGGGAGCCCTGGGCTCTAACTCTAACCCACTCAGTCTCCCCGATAGCCGCCTCCCCCACCTTTCAAAACCTGCCACCTGCCTTTTATACACTTCCCTCAGGCGCGAGTTTCCTAGACCTCTTCAGATCTGACAGAGTGCCTGACTTCCTTCCTCCTTAGAGTCTCCTCCCGCCTTTTCTCAAGCATTTAGTCTGCCTGTGTGGTCCTCAAAGCCTCCCACCCCTCCTTGCTCTCTAGACGCCCAGTTCCCCGGCGACCTCTAGACTCTCCCTCACTCTCTGGTCTCCCTCTCACCTTGGGTGTCCCTCTCACACTTCTCCCAGGGTCCCCATTGCCACTTCCCCTGGGTCACCAAGTCTAAACCGAGGGCTCCTGAGCCTCTAATCCAGTGATGGCGAACCTATGACACGCGTGTCAGAGGTGACACGTGAACTCATTTTTTTGGTTGATTTTTCTTTGTTAAATGGCATTTAAATATATAAAATAAATATCAAAAATATAAATCTTTGTTTTACTATGGTTGCAAATATCAAAAAATTTCTATGTGACACAGCACCAGGGTTAAGTTAGGGTTTTTCAAAATGCTGACACGCCGAGCTCAAAAGGTTCGCCATCACTGCTCTAGTCAATAGTGACCTGGCGTTTCTCTGGCTACAGTGACTCTGGTTTCAGTGACTCTGTCTACCTCACCCTCACCCCATCCCCAATTTGGAGCCCTCAGCCTCTCCTGAACACTTGCTCCCCTCCCTATTCCTTCCACATTCTCTTCATCCTAAATCAAAGTAACAAACTATACCCTTCCTTTCCTCTCTTCCTCTCTAATAATTCACCCAATTATTTGGGTGAATGAAATTATGCTTTCAGGCCCCTGTTTCAGTCATGAACCCTCTTCAAGAACATAACCCCCCTCCCCCATCCATAAAAACATGTATGACATATAGAACTTTTCCAGCAGCGTCAGAAGGTTCCCCATCTGTTTTTAGGGTCGCATTCTCTCTCCACACCCCCACCCCAGGTCTGCCACTCCAACCCCGTATTCTATTTTCTTTAAATGTTTTCCTGTGTTTTCACCCCATCTAAAGAAGAACACACCCTACCAGGGACTCCCCAAATCCACTGTTTGGTCCCAGGATCAAGATCTTCAAGAATCTTGTTCTTTCTTTCAAAAAGCCATTCTGCCTCTTAAAACCACATGGAGGTCTGGAGAGTGGCTTCCTCTTCCTCCCAACCCTGTCCTCCAGCTCCAGTGACTCTGTCTACCTCGTCCCCACCCCATCCCCAATTTGGAGCCCTCAGCCTCTCCTGAACACTTGCTCCCCTCCCTATTCCTTCCACATTCTCTTCATCCTAAAACCAAAGTAACAAACTATACCCTTCCTTTCCTCTCTTCCTCTCTAGTGATTACCATTTTTAATGTAATTCTGCCCTTCTTGAAGCACCCTGGTTTCTAACAGTCATCTGGCCTGCAGGTCTCTCTAGGATTTGCTCTATTCTCAGAAGCTAACCAGAGCCAACAAATCCCAACAGAAATTCAAGGATAGGGTCTATTTTCCAGTACTTTGTATCTTGCTTGTGACTTTCTTCAAAACAGGCACAGGAAGTTGTTGAAAATGATGTCGAAAGCCAAGAATGTCTTCTGTGCTGTTGATGCACCCCTGGATGGCAGTGATCACAGGGCAGTGAAGGGATTAGGGGCACAGGCCCAGTGGACATGTGTTTGTCTAGTAGAGGCCTCTAACCTGCTGCCTCTTTAAGGAGTCCTTATACTCCACACACCATCAAGATTCTATGACAAAATATCTTTGAAAGATTTGTGCTTCTGCTTTCTTACATGGAGGTGAAAATGCATGTGGAATTGGAACAATGTTGGTGGTTAGGGTCCTTCCAGCTCTCTAGCCAATAGTGGGTCATTTACCACACATGTAATTTTCTCAATGTTCCTGGCAATGTTAGTGAGGAGACCTTAAATATTACCTTTGTTCTGATTTGTGATCTATCGAGGTTGTGAAAAACATTTTAGACAAGAAACTAAGGAGTGAGCAGGTGGTCACCTGGGTGTCTCCAAAGCACATCTGAGTGGATAAGACATCCAGCCTGTTTACACCATCTCTAACAGTGCCGGAGACCAGAAGCCTGAAATGGGCATCACTGCGCTGGAATCCTGACGTGTGTCTGCAGGACCCTGCTCCATCCAGACTCTCTGGAGTAATCTGTTTTTGCCTTTTCCAGTTTCTGGAGTCTGTTCTCATTCTTGGTTCATGTCCCCCCATCACACGCATTTTCCCTCCCCTGCCCCCATAGTCACATCTGCTCTTTTCCTTCTGTTGTTTGATCTCCCTCTGACTCAATCTTTCCCTCATAAGAACACTTGAGATTACATGGAGGGACCACCTGAAAAATCTAGAGTAGTTTTTCCATCTCACCACCTATGACTTCATCACATGTGCAAAGTGTATTGTGCAGGGAATATAACAGTCATAGGTTCCAGGGATAAAACTCCGGATATCTTTAGGGGGGCAATGATTGTCCCTACCACAGTATTCAAAGAACTTCAAAATGTCTTTTCTTCATATTATAAAATGCTTTTAAAACTACCTATTTCATTCCTGTGTTCTTGAATGGGGTAAGTGTTGTTCCCACAGTTGAAGCTCTTCATGGTACCAGCTCTAGAGGAGGGTACCATGGCTTCCCGCCCCCTTGGACATTTGTGTTGTCAGACACCCTTCCAGACGATCTGGTTCCATTGGAATGAAAAGGGGACTGGGCACTGGTGCACAGGCTCCTTGGCCTGGAGCACTCCCTAGGGTGTGGGGTTTTGCTCATGTCAGATCTGTGACTCTGTAAGAAGCCAGCCTTCCAGGTCTGAAATCATTCCTGGGACTGAAGGGCACAGACATGCTCATGATGTCTTCCAAAGATTCAGTTACTTCATTTATGAAAGACAAAGCTTTAGAATGTCTAATGGACAATTTGACTACATTTCTTATGAATGAATTTTAAATACTTCTGACACATTAATGATGTGTCCAATGAACCCGTCACCAACCTTCTTACATCAGAAATTGTCTACTTCTATTTATTTATTTACTTATTTATTTATTTATTCATTCATTCATTTGAATTTATTGGAGTGACATTGGTTCGTAAAACCATATAGCATATAGGTTAAGTGTACAACTGAATAAAACACACATCTGTGTCCCATTGCCCCAAGCAAAATCTCTTTTCCCTCCTCCAGAAGTTTTCTATTGAATAAAGTTCTTATCTATACTGAACAAAAGGGTTCCAGTTGAGGTAGAGTTGACAGAAGAATGAGGATGGACTATCGAATAGTTACCTATGAGGTTAACAGATAGTTAAACCAAAGAGAAAAACATGGAAGGAGCAGGGAAAGTGTCCAGCTTGTTTAATCTCCTCACACAGCCTCTGGATCTGAAGCCTTGGAACTGCTGTCCTGTCTCACCCCAAGGAGTCACCGAGTGGTGTACGAGGGTTGCATGAAACCCCTCAGAGGGCTGAGTACAAAGAGATTACAGGGAAGGGAACAAGAGCAACTGCTTCTTTGAAAATCCATCCTCATTAACAAAAAAAAAAACCACATAGATTGGAAGATTTGATATTGTTAAGCTGTCATACTATCCAAAGTGATCTACAGATTCCATGTAATATATTATAAATCCAATGACTATTTTTTAGAAATAGAAAATATTGCCCAGCTGGTGTGGTTCAGTGGTTGAGCATCGACCTAGGAACCAGGAGGTCACAGTTCGATTCCCGGTCAGAGCACATGCCTGGGTTGTGGGCTCCCAGTGTGGGGTGTGCAGGAAGCAGCCAATCAATGATTCTCTCTAATCATTGATGTTTCTATCTCTATTTCCCTCTCCCTTCCTCTCTGAAATCAATAAAAATACATTTAAAAAATAAATAAAATTCAAACAACAATGGAATATCCCCTCAACGGAAAACAACAATAACAAAAACAGAAAGTAACCTGCCCTGGCACAATGTGGAAAAATTGGAACCTGGGCCCACTCTTTGTGGAAATGCAAAATGGTACAGGTACTGTAAAGGAAATAGACTTATCATGTGGTCCAGCAATCTCACTTCTGCTTTTATGTTTAAAAAAAAAGATTGGAAATCAGGATTTTGAAGATATATTTGCACATCCATTTTCATTGCAGCATTATTCATAATATCCAAGAGGCAGAAGCAATCCAATTATCCATACACAGAGTAATGGGAAAATAAAATGTGGTATATACATATACAACAGAATATTATTCAGCCTTAAGGGGGGTAATTCTCAATATGATGCTAAGTGAAACAAGCCAGTCACAGGAAGACAGAAAACGTATGTTCCACTTATATGAGGTATCTCAAGTATTCACATTTACAGAAACAAAGAACATTGGTCATTGTGGGGTACTTGGGGGAGGATAAAATAGGTCACTGTTTTAATGGGTATAGATTTTCAGTTTTACTGAAGAAAAAGTGCTTGAGATCTGAAGAGATGTTACTCACTTCCCAGCATGCAATTGTTCACAGGTGAGATATTCCCTTTCTTTCATATTAGGTATTATCCAAGATGGTCCCTCTCAGAAGACAAGGACTTAGCATTCTTCCCCATCACCAAAACACACACACATTCTTCCCATCCTGTCTTTCCAATAATTTTTTAAAACCCAATATTTCGTGTGGACTTTATTTCTATGTTATGCTGTTCACATTTAATCCAAATAGCTATGATTTTTTAAAACCTCTTGAATTGTGGAGTCAAAAATTTTCATCTCTGAAGTACATAAGTACTGGAGAACATTCCTTATGTGAGCTGGAGCCTTGGGGAGGAATGTTATAGTCCCATGAACCCACATCTCTATGGCCAATTAATAGTTGACAAAAGAGGCAAGAGCATACAATGGAGTAAATACAGTCTCTTCAATAAATGGTGCTGGGAAAATTTGACAAATACATGAAAAAAAATGAAACTAGACCACCAACTTATACCATACACAAGAATAAACTCAAAATGAATAAAGGACTTAAATGTAAGTCACAAAGCCATAAAAATCCTAGAAGAAAACATGGGCAGTAAAATTCAGATAGCTCACGTAGCATTATTACTGCCAATAAATCTCCTAGGGCAAGGGAAACAAAGAAAAAAATAAACAAATGGGACTACATCAAATCAAAAAGCCTCTGCACAGCAAAAGAAACCATCAAAATGAAAAGGAACCCACTGAGTGGAAGAACATATTTGCCAGTGACACATCTGAAGGTGCCTGCATCTGAATGCAGGAAGGACAAGAGAGTCAGTGACTATCCTTGTGCCCCAGAACACACAATGGGTTCAGGTCAGGAACGCGATGGGGATGCAGCAGTGGAGCAGAGGATGTGACACACTCCGGTGCTTAAGTGTCCAGTCAGGTTCCCACAGGATCTAAGAGGCTATGAAGTTAACATTGGGAGACAGAGTTGTCTATTTGTACTGGGAGATGATCTCCTTTTCCTTGAGGGAGACAATGCATTAGTTTCTTGTGGCTGCCATAATAAATTTCCACAACCTGAATAACTTTTAAAAAAAGTTATTCTCTGACATTCTGGAAGCCAGCAATCCAAATCAAAGTATGGGCAAGCCCTCATTTTCTCCACAGCCTCTAGGAAAGATTCCATTCCTTTTATCTACCTCTTTGGTGGCTGCCGGCATTCCTTGGCTTGTAGCTGCATCACTCCCATCTCTGCCTCCATCTTCATGTGGACTTCTCCCGGAATGTCATCTCATCTTCTGTTTCTTAGAAGGAATATATTATTGGATTTAGGACTCATGCAGATAACCCAGCATAATCTCATCTCGAAATTTTTAACTTAAACAATTACATCAGCAAAGAACATATTCCCAAATAAGGTCACATTCATAAATTCCAGGAATTAGGATGTGGACATATTTTGTGGGAAGCCCCCACTCAACTCTCTATAGGCAGAGTGATTCTGTGGTCCAGTCCATGCTGGGATTTGGGTTGATTCCAGAGCTTCATCCACAGGGGCTCCGCTAAACCATGCAACGAGTCCCACTGAGTTTAGGCTTTGCCTGGAGTTTACAGAAGTGGGGAACTTGGAGGGGAGACAGAGAGATGCCAGGAAAGAACTTTCAGACATGTACCCAGACATGTGCCCCAAAGACCACCAGCCTAGGTCCACAAAGAGTCAAGTTTATAGAAAAGGGAGGGCTTTCTAGATTGACATCACATGCACTTTGGGAGCCTTGTTTAGATCATGGATACAAAAATGTCACAAAATATATTTTGGAACAAGCACAAAAATGAAAATAAATAAGCTGGACCTCACTCAGATTTTAAAATTTTGTGGTTTAAAGGACCTCATTTAGAATTTGAAAGAAGAGATTCAAAATGGCGATGGAGTAAGTGGATGCTACACAGATCTACTCTTCAGGGCCAAACTGGAATTACAATTAAAATTAAAAACAAAAAACAAAACAAAAAAACACCCTGAATAATCAATTGAAGACTAGCTGGAGAGAACCCTGATTACCAAGGATGGAAAGTGGAAACTGCATAGAGACTGGTAGAAAGAGCTGAGGCATGAAAAGGCTGGTCCAGCTCCTACAGACAGAAGCTGAATTTCCAGAGAAATATCTCAGCTGTGGGGTGTTGCCACTAAGAACTCTGGGGTCTAAACCCCAAGCTGGGCCCACGAGCAGAGAGCACCAGAACTGAGAAAGGTATCCAGATAAACATCTGGCTGGGAAAAGCAGCAGGGTTGCTATCTGCCAGGAAAAGATAGCTGAAAATGCAGGCACCCTCTTAAAGGGACAAAGCACAAAATTTCATGTGCAGCCATTCACCTTGGGCTCTGTCAGAGGGAGGGCAGAATGGACTGGAACTGTGTGAGCAGAAGCCAGGGTTGGGGGCTCTAGAGTTAGAGCTCAGAGGGCAGACACCCTGGTTTCCTGTGCTGAGTCATTCCCTCACACTGCAGAGGACATCTTTCTCAGGCAAAACATTGCTATCCTGGCAGTTTTGGCCAGAGAGTGAAACAGTTACCCCACCCTATTGGAAAACCCCTTGCCCCACCCTGTGGAGTTTCTGAGGCCCATTGGGAGACTTAGAATAACAAATAGCCTCCAAGCATAAGCAATTGCCCCTCCCTGTTAGAAAACCTCTTGCCCCACCTATGGACAATTACCTGAAGCTACTCAAGATAGGATCCAATCAGTCTGCAGGCAGAGGCAGGGCTCTGGAGGCTTTGAGCTTTTGCCTGATCTAATTAGTCAGAAACAGCGTTTGACACTGGTATGTAGAGCTACCTAATACATTGTTACAAACCCAAACAGGCAGCCAAAATGGGGAGGAAAAAAAAGAAAGAATAAGAGAATTCTCTAGAAGAAAAACTAAATGAAATGGAGATAATAAATTTATCAGACAGAGAGTTCAGAATAATGATGGCAAAATGCTCAGCAGCATGAGAAAAGATATAGTAACTATGAAGAATGATTCAGCACTAATAGAGAACACAGTGGAAGGAATACACAACAGATTAGGGCAGTGGTTCTTAACCTGTGGGTCACGACCCCTTTGGGGGTCAAACAACCTTTTCACAGGGGTCGCCTAAGACCATCCTGCATATCAGATATTTACATTACGATTCATAACAGTAGCAACATTACAGTTATGAAGTAGCAACAAAAATAATTTTATGGTTGGGGGTCACCACAACATGAGGAACTGTATTTAAAAGGCCAGAAGGTTGAGAACCACTGGATTAGGGGAAGCTGAGAATTGAATCAGTTAATTAGAAGATAGGGTAGAAAAAATAACTCAATTGGAGAACCAAAGAGGAAAAAAACAATTAAAAAACAGTATAACAGCTAAGGAAGCTGTGGGATATGAAACATAACAATCCTATATAATAAAAGGCAATTGACCAAATGGCAGAACGACCAGTTGCTATGATGTGCACTGACCACCAGGGGGCAGACACTCAATGCAGGAGCTGCCCCTGGTGGTCAGTGTGCTCCCACAAGGGGAGTGCCGCTCAGCCAGAAGCTGGGCTCATGGCTGGTGAACACAGAGCTAATGTAGCGGCGGTGGCAGGAGCCTCTCCTGCCTCCTCGGCAGCTCTAAGGATGTCCGACTGCCTAACCTGTTGGTCAGACATTCCCCGAGGGCTCCTGGACTGCAAGAGGGTGAGGGCCAGGCTGAGGGATCCCCTCGAGTGCATGAATTTCATGCACTGGGCCTCTAGTATTCATATAATAGATGTTCCAGGTGGGGAAGAAAGTGAACAAGGGTTAGAAAATGTGTTTGAAGAAATAATGGCAGGAAACTTCCCTAACCTGGTGAAGGAAAAAGTCACACAAGTTCAGGAGACACAGAGAGTGCCAAGCAAGAAAACCCAAACAGGCCTATGCCCAGCATAATTAAAATACCAAAAATTAAAGACAAAGAGAATATCTTAAAGGCAACAAGAGAAAAGCAAACTGATACATAAGGTTGTCAACTGATTTCTCATCAGAACTCTACAAGCTAATAGGGAATGGCATGAAGTACTCAAGGTAATGAAAAGCAAGGATCTGAAACTAAGATTACTATATTCAGCAAGGCTATCATTCAAAATAGATGGTGAAATAAAGAGCTTCCCAGACCAAAAAAAAAAAGGCTGAAAGAGTTTATCACCACCAAACCAGCACTACTAGAAATGCTAAAGGGACTGCTGTAATGAGAAGAAACACTGAGAGAAACATAGGCATACAGAATTAAAATGGCAATAAATAAGTACCTATCAATAATAATCTAAATGTAAATGGATTAAATGCTCCAACCAAAAGACATAGGGTAGCTGTATGGATACAAAAATATGACCCAATTATATGCTCTCTATAAGAACCCACCTCAGGCACTTCGGGTATTTCCGTGTCCCGCTCGGAGGTGCTCAGCAATCGCTCGGCCGCCCCCATCCCCCGGTAACGGTCGCTGCAGGCTGCTATATGGCAAGCACTAAACCATTACGCTTACCGAGATGCAGTTTTCCTTGCAGAATGACTATATGCAGAAGGTTTGTACTATATTTATTTCTGTAAAATCCTAAATAAATAAAATATATGAACACCAAAAAAAAAAAAAAAAAAAAGAAAGAACCCACCTCAGAACAAAAGACTCACACAGGATGAGAGTGAAAGGATGAAAAAAAAATTTTCTATGTGAATGGAAAAGAAAAAAAGCTGAGATAGCAATGTTCATATCTGACAAAATAGACTTCAAAATGAAGTCCATCACAAGAGACAACAAAGGTCACTACATTATACTAAAGGGATCGATCCAACAAGAGGATATAAGCCTGGTAAACATATATGCACCCAATATAGAAGCACCTAAATATATATTTTTAGAAGTTCTAGAGGACTTTAAGAAATATACTGACCACAAATACAGTCATAGTAGGGGACTTTAACACCCTGCTCACTTCACTGGATAGATCTTCCAGACAAAAAATTAACAAGGAAACAGTGACTCTAAAGGACACACTGGATCAGATGGATTTAACAGACATTTATAGAACATTTCACCCCAAAGCTGCAGAATATACATTCTTCTCAAGTGCACATGGGTCATTCACAAAGATAGACCACAGGTTAGGACACAAAACAAGTCTCTACAAGTTCAAGAAGATTGAAATCATATCAAGCATCTTCTCAGATCACAGTGGAATAAAATTAGGAATCAACTACAGTAAAACCACTCAAAAATATTCAAACACCTGGAGGCTAAGTAGCATGTTACTAAACAACAAATGAGTTACCAATGAGATCAAGAAAGGAACCAAAAACTTCCTGGAGACAAATGAAAATGAACACACAGCAACCCAAAATCTCTGGGACACAGCAAAGCAGTCCTGAGAGGGAAGTTCATAACACTACAGACCTGCCTCAAAAAAAAAAAAAAAAAAAAGTTTAAAAATAAACTATTTAACCCTACAAATTAAAGAATTAGAAAGAGAACAACAAGAAAAGCCCTCTCCCTGTGGGCCTAAGGCATCAGTAGGCCTCCCTCTGCAGGAGGCAACCTGGCTGATCAGGGGAAAGTGCTGCTGCTGCCACTGCTGGCCGCCACAGCTGCCAAGGTGTTTTCATCAACATGGACTCCAGTCCCTTCACTACAAAAAAATGACAACTTTCTTTAGACATTTTCAAGATGTCTCTTTCATAGGATATGACATTTCTTTCTTTCTTTCTTTTTATCCTCACCTGAGGATATTTTTCCATTGATTTTTAGAGAGTGTGGAAGAGAGAGGGAAAGACAGAGAGAAACATCAATGTGAGAGGGACACTGCGATTAGTTGCCTCCTGCATGAGCCCTGACCTGGGCCCCGGCCAGGGAGGAGCCTGTAACCTAAGTACATGGCCTTGATCAGAATCGAACCTGGACCCTGCAGTCGGCAGGCCGAAGCTCTATCCACTGAGCCAAACTGGCTAGGGCAGGATATGACATTTCTTAGCCCCTCCAGCAGCAGACCTTCGTTTTTTCCTCCAGGTGTGAGGTGGAAAAACCCTAGATCACCTTCTTGGATTCTTATTACCCAAGTTACCAAGAACACTGCGAGTAGTGTAAGGGGAGCTTAGCCAGTGAGCAGTAAGAAAAGGTGTTTCCTCTGCAGCTCATGTGCAGAGGCAGGACTGCTGGTGAGGGCCTGCCCTCAGCTGCAAGTGGACCCTCTCTCTCTCCCTCTCCTTCTCCCTCTCCCTATCCCTCTCCCTCTCCCTCTCCTTTTCCTTCT